CTATCTTGGAAAACAAGAATGCCCCTATAGCTGGTCGAAGAGATCATCAATCCTCGGGAGTGGGTAACGGTTCTTCACCGTTACCTTGTTCAGCTCCCGGTAATCTATACACATCCGAAGTGACCCGTCCTTCTTCTTCACAAACAGGATCGGGGCTCCCCAAGGCGAACTGCTCGGCCTAATGAATCCCTTGTCTACCAGCTCCTGCAGCTGTGTAGACAACTCCTACATCTCGACAGGAGCCAAATGATATGGTGCCTTGGCTATCAGAGCCGCACCCGAGACTAGGTCGATCCTGAACTCCAACTGTCTCTCTGGAGGTATCCCAGGCAACTCCTCTGGGAATACGTCCGGGTAGTCTCGCACCACTGGCACATCTCTCACGGTCGCCTCACCCGCCTCCTGGGTATCCATGACGTAGGCGACATAACCTATGCAACCCTGCTGAAGGTAGCGCCTACCCCTTGCTGCCAAACACAAAGCTGGTCCATGCTGCGGCCTCTCGCCCTAAATCACCAGCTCTCTCCCACTTGGGGTCCTAACACGTACCAACTGCTATGCACAGCCGATCACCGCCCCATTAGGGCTCATCCAATCCATGCCGATGATAACCTTGTTCCCACGCAACGGGATGGGAACCAAATCCACGAGGTAACGCTCGTCATATAACCTCAAAACGCATACTCTGAAAGCCTCTGATGCCCGGACCGATCGTTCGTCAGCAATCTCGACCTCTAAAGGACAATCCAACATCCCCGAAGACTCAGAAAACCTCTTGCTAAGTGCAAGTGAGACAAATGATCAGGTATCCCCCGAGTCGAATAACACCTGTACTGGGATACCGTTCACATGGAACGATCCTAAGCATAACACATAAAACATAGAACATAAATATCATAATTGACATGTAATAAGAGTTAGGGAGAAAAACATACCCGTCACCACATCCAAATCACTCAAACCAAGGCTCAGATACCAACTTGTACAATCCCACAATTCAAGACCACAAATTTCATTTTTGATTTAACAATTCGTAAAACAAATTATAGAAAACATCATCAAGTTATCTCATTTTATAAAAACCATATATCATATGTCTCAAAAGCATGTCATAAGATAATAATAATAATATCAGAGTACAAATCCCAAGAATCTCATATGCGGAAAATCGTGTGTGTGATGCGCTGCTATCGTGCCGGCTCCTTTCCCTTCGAAGAAGAAGGACCTGAAACAAAAACTGAAAACCATAAGCACAAAGCTTATTGAGTCCCCCCATCATACCACATACCATACAATAAACATATTGTCTAACATGTCCGGGTACTGGACTACCCCTTCGGTCTCTTTTAACCGGTAACTGTCTAGCATATCAGGGTGCTGGCCTACCCCTTCGGTCTCTTTTAACTGGTAACTTGCCTAGCATATCAGGGTGCTGGCCTACCCCTTCGATCCTTTCGACCTGTACCTCGCCTAGAATATCAGGGTGATGGCCTACCCCTTCGGTCCTTTCGACCGGTACCGGGGACTATTTCACCCCTACTTCTACCATATAACATCCTAGTACACAAACACATAAGTCATATACTGCCTAGCTTATCAGGGTGCTGGCATACCCCTTCGGTCCCTTCGACCGGTATTGAGGCCTATCCTACCCCTCCTACCACTATCACATAATATCATAACATACTAGCACATAAAGCATAACAGATAGTGGCATACCAGATAATTATCACAAAGACAATAATCTCTACTATTACTCTTACGAGTGGGCCGACATTAGTGCCTTCGACCCACTTCTACTGGAAGGTAACTCACCTAGATGTTGTGAAGTAGCTGAACTGTCCTCGGCTCTGGAATCAACTCCCCTCAAACTCCTACATATCAAATCTCCTTTAATTACTCTTTTATACTCATAACCCCTTTAAGGGTCAACTCTGGTCAAAGTCCAAGACAAAGTCAACATTCTGGTCAAAGTCAACGTACTGGTCAAAGTCATCCTGGTTGACTCAACTCGCCGAGTTGTTCTCAACTCGTCGAGTTCCATGATCTATAAAAACCCTGAAAATCTCGATCCAACTCATCGAGTTCTTTCATGAACTCATCGAGTTCCTCCTCATAACATAGTCGGGACATTTCACTCACAACTCGCCAAGTTCCTCCTTGAACTCGTCGAGTTCCTCAATCCTCATAACCCTAAACCATGGCCAACTCGCTCAGTCATCTCCTAGACTCAACGAGTTTGCTAAGTAACAGAAAAGGTTGGGGGACCACGACCCAACTCGCCGAGTTGGATGAACAACTCGTCGAGTCCCCCTTAGTCTAAATCCATCCAGTCACTTCCAGTCGAGTTCAATGCTTCCAAATCATAGATCTGGTCCCCTAGGACTAAGTTACCACGTAAAGTTACTAACTTTATGTTCATGCATGGTGTCATGAAGCTAAAAACACCAAAACTAAGCTATATAAGAGATCTAGGGCATGGGGAAGGGCCAAGGCTTGATAAGCTGGCAACTTTAAGCCTCATAAGCTCATAAGTGCCTAGATCTGAAGTCATAACTTCATGATACACTCAAATCCCGAAAATGACTTCAATATGGCCCAGAAGTGACAATATACAACTCTAAATGAAGATCTAAGCAATAAAATGCCAATGTATCAACTTTATACCTCAAATGAGTCAGAAATGCAGCTCAACCTTCGGATCTACTGGCTTCCTCTTGAATCCTTGAGCTTCTCCTTCCTTCTCAAGCTTCAAAATCACAAAGAACACACAACAATGGCTCAAGAACACTCAAAGGTGGATTAGGGTTTCGTGGCTAGGGTTTGGGGTGATGGAGGCTGCAAATGAGGCCAACCTTTTGAGGTTAAGGTGTTTAAATAAGGTGCAAAACCCTGAAAATTAGGGTTTCACTCTAGCAGCCCTACTCGTCAAGTTGAGGCTCTCAACTCGTCGAGTAAACTTCAAGTCCCGCGTCCAAATTCCATTCCTACTCGACGAGTTTGGGTCTCCAACTCGTCGAGTCCCCTTGCAAAAATGAATAATTTGATTTAAATTACATACCAGGATCCGGGCGTTACATATGCTCTTGTCGAAGCCCTGAAAGTGACTGAAACAGGGAGAAATCAAAACCAATCGAATAAAAAAAACACAAATAGACCCATCAATATACTTACGATAGCGCATTGGTTCTTCTGATTGATTCCGCACCGGCGGCGACGGGTCGAAAAAGAATTATGTAGAAAGACAAACCGAAGATAAACATTACCAGAATCGAAAGAGAAACCGGAGGAAGTGACAAAGTCGTTGATGATAGAATCACCATGTTCAATAAGGTATAAATTAGAAAACTTATTCAACAGATGCTCCAGACAGCAACACCTCTTTTCCCTCATCCATCCTCTATTTTACTCTCTCCGGTGGCGAAACAGTGAAGCACGAGATTAAGAAATCGGAGGAGGGATTGAAAGAATTTGGGGGAAGTTGTAGAGATTGATTGCCTGGAGGAAGATTAAGGACGAAACTTTCCAATCTCTACAACTTTTGTGGTAAAATTCTAAAATGACGAAAGGTTGTTGTTCCTAACTGCGACGGAAATTAATATAAGTATATAATGGTCATGACAATTACTTAAAGCACAAAATGGTCATTTAACGGAATTTTACACATTAATATTCATTAATTTATCAACTAACCTTAAAATATGGTAAATCACTAGTCATAACAGTTTAATAGTCATAAAATAATTATGATTCAAGAAACATAATCAAAACGGTCATCTAGACAATATAAACTTAACAATAGGTAATAAAACTCTATACACTATAATACATAAGAATCAACGAACAAAAAATATAATTAATTAAACAACTAATAAATCCAAATCTTTGAAATCAAACCATAAAATAAAAGGTTCTTCTTAACCTAAGCAAAAGTATATGAGATTAGTCCACAATCATAGATAGAAAACATAATGAAGTTGCTAAACATCTTAAGAAAAGCAAACCGATTGATGTTTCTAATGATTTCACTCATGGATCTTCGAAAACTAGCTCTAATTGTGATCTACAACTTCATAGATGCTCAAAAAAGGTTTTGTGGTTGTCAAAAGACATACAATCTTTTGAGGTATTATTTATGTCTAAAAGATAATGCCTTATATAGACTTTCTAAACCGACCACAAACTTGATGCATAAACTTGTTGGACATGTTTGTTAATGTCAAGCATTCGCGCTTGTATTGTGTGGACAAGGCGTGTTCTTTGTCTTTTATTCATATATATTCTCTTAGCTCTTTATCCGCTTCCTTTAACTCCTTTCGTGTTCAGCTATAAACTTATCTGCAAAATACGAATTTACATTGTTATAAAACATTCGATGATTTGATTATATCGAAAAAAGAAAGTTTTACATAAACATAGCGGGTAAATGAGCAACAAGTTGTGTCGCAACCATTTTTTGGATGACAAAACTAATTCTTTTTAAAAACATCTATAGATCTTGGGGTCTTAACATTACTATACATGACCCGTTGGACTCTATTGAGTAGTTCCATAGCTTCTGACGCAAAGAAACCAAAAGTATCAAATGCAAAAGGTATAAGTGTATGTTGATTTTCCATGCACGTTTTCTTATGTTTTGCCACTTTGCATGATGCAGCTTTTAAGCAGCTTGCCCCACAGTGAAAGTCTCATTTCTCAAGCCCACAAGAGGGGCCACTTTGCATGATGCAGCTTTTAAGCAGTTTGCTCCACAGTGAAAGTCTCACTTCTCAAGCCCACAAGAGGGGTTAGATCCACACATGCATACTTCCCTCCAGTCTATCCAAATACTAAAACATGAGCTGATCCAAATATTGATCTTCCTTCCAATAATAGGTCAGTCAGAAAGTTCATAGATTCGTCTTTCTCGACAGAAATATATCAAAACGTAGCCCAAAATACTAAGATATTATATACAATATCTTTACAATTAAGGATATATCATTTTTTTTGTTAGGGGTTCTATTTTTTCAACATAGTCGATAAAACATTCGACACAATTATACGTGACGGTTTTTGCTTTTTCCTTTTCCGAACTCCGAATTTATTCGGTGTCGAACTGTCGAGTAGAGATTATTGGAGATCATCCATCGCCGTTCAGATTCTGATTGCCTGCCTCCCTCCCTTTACAGAAATTTTAAGCGAAAGATATGGCGTGCTTGCATGATCACAGCTGCGAAGATCACGATTGTTCATCCGATTGGTCTCTCTACAAACACATAGACATCCCCAAGGTTCGCTCGCGTCTTTCCCCCCTTTCATCTTTGGTAACTATGCCGATAATTCTGGCATCATTGTCGTGGTTTGAGATGATCACGCTTCGACATTTACTCGGCCATTCTTTGGTGTTACCGATTGTTTTGGCGAATATCTTCAGCGTTTTTGAACTACGGTGCTTGGATATGTTATTCAGGCGAAACTAAAACAAAAAAGAAACGTAAAGGCTGATTTAGGTTATAGTAATTAGGCCGTTTTTTTGGGCATAAGTAGAAACTTATGGATGATCTTTTGGTAGAATCTGAGAAAGAATTGGAACTTATTTTGTTTGAATTTGTAATTGCATTCTAAAGGTATCTGCACTGAATGAGGCTGTTCCCGGAAGTGTTAAATCAGTTTTCAAAGCTTGGGAGCAGCGCCTGAATTCTTCAGAGGTAATTGTTCTTTAAAGACTTTCAATCTTTCTTTTGCATTGTCTGCTGTTTCATAAAGCTTGGGGATTGATTAGAATCATAAACCCTAGAAACTGGCAATGGAAGGATTAAGGTCAAAGAAATAGACACAGGGGGATATTATCTTTTTGTTTCATTCCAATAAACTTAAATCTACTAGGAGCCCTAGTGTTTAGAAGCATGTCACTTCAGTCTTTTATGAATGCTACATTTACCTTCAGTAACATAAATTTGCGTTTTTTATAATGAATCAAAATGGAGAAATTTAAATGTGGTGAAGTCATTGCTTACTCTGCATTCTATGATCCTTAACAGAGTCATTTGTCTAGCATTTGCATGTATATCTGATTAGAAACTTTCTTTTTTGTACAGGGTTTCTTGGAAAGCAATGAGGGAGATCCTGAATTAATCGTATTTATCCCGTATGTTTGTAATGCTGCATCATGTTTATCTGTTGTACTTGTAAGTTGACTCTTTTATGCTTTGATTGTGACAGATTTACATCAGATGTTAAGATAAAGAGCATTTCAATTGTTGGTGGTGCTGATGGAACAAGTCCTTCAAAGATGAGGGCGTAAGTTATATAACTTTGTTAAAAAGTTATTATACAAAAATGTTAAAATGTTACAAACCAAACCCTAAAGTTTTTACCTTTGTCTGGTTTTCCACTTATGGAAATTTGTAGGTTTATCAATCGAGAAGGAATCGACTTCTCAGATGCTCAGAGTATGCAAGCTATTCAGGTATGCAGACTAAACACATCACAAGATCACTCATCTCTAACTCTTTACACTTTTTAATACTTTTTACATTTTCTTTAGGAGTGGGATTTGGCAGAAAATTTACAAGGAGTCTTGGAATACCAGACAAGGTGAATAGTTTGTTTCTTGTACATATAATATATAATACTTATACTTTCTTCAATACCAGATATTCTAGGTTTCAAGGTATTGGAAATTTGACCCTGCATTTTCCTGATAATCATGGTGGGGATACATCTAGAATACAATACATTGGGCTAAAAGGTGAAGCCACTCAGGTAAGTTGATTTTAGTTTTTCTCTTTTTCTTTTTCCTTTTGTGTTTGTTCATAATTTTGATTTTATGATTTGTATAGTTGAAGAGAGATGTTGTTGCAACTATTGTTTATGAGCTTATGCCAAATCCTTCTGATCACAAGTAAGTGCCACATGTCTATCTTCTGTTCCTTTCTCAAAATCTTTTGTCTTATTTTCTTTCCAACTTTAAATTCATTTGTTGATTTTCAGGACAAAATCTGAAACCGGAGGAGGCATGTCACATGTTGAGTGAGTTAGTTTGCACTCACTATATAAAATTGTTAGTAGACTCCCTCTTTTACTTTTATAAATTACAAATGTACCCTTTCTGTTTCACTCAACCAAACCTTGCTATGTACTACTAGACTTAAACAATGTGTCAAGTTTGCTTTGTTTGTATACTATGCTGAATCAGACTCATTTTAACAGAACTATATAATCTGATAGAAATCAAGCATATTACATATTACAGGAAGTTGTTTACATCGTAAGAAAAAGAAAAAAATAAACACACACAAAAGAATTCATTCTCCTAACCTACTGGCCCTTGCTAGCAGTATTGTTAAATGAGCCTTTAAAAAAATCAGCTCTTCATGAAATTTGCGGGCCATACCCAAGGTCAAACATTATATAGGTTTTATTCCACTTATGATAGATAAATATGTTAACCATAAGTAACTCGCCTTTTTTTTTTTTTTTTAAAAAAGTTTTCCTAATAAGAATCCCAGAGAGGATAATCCGGTATCTCTCCCCACTCACCCATTTGATCAAAGTTAGCAGCAGCATTACAAAAATACAATTTTTGTTCCGCAATAAAAACATCACTCAATTCCATCCAAATTTTCGGGGAATCAAGCGGCGAATCATTTATCGCCTGAATTTGACTAGGCGAAAGTCCGATATTGACTGGGACCATATGACTTGACCCAGACCCAGACCCACTCTGGTCATGACCATATTCTGGCATGAGCAGGGGTCTGAACCGCGTGGCGGCCTCTTGGGCCGCCATGCGTATACATTCTGCAGTTGAGCAGACCGGTCTCGGGAGTTCATTTGCTCTTTCCGGAAAATTAAGTTTGGAGACATCACCGCCACGGAGGTAAAATGCCGCCGCGTCATAGGCGGCTGCCGCCATCTCCGGCGTCTCAAAACTCCCTAACCAGATCCGCGAATCCTTCCCGGGCTCACGTATTTCGGACACCCATTTTCCCCACTTCCTTTTTCTGACACCCCGGTAGACCGAAGAAGTACCACCCTTGTGCATGGTTTCTTTCATGTTTTTAAGGCAATATTTTCAATTGTCAATTTGCAATCGCAGATATGTATTTAACTTAACTATTTATAGATGTGGATATAATGGAAGGGATTTATATTATATATTATAAGTTTTGTAAAGGCGGGTTCGAAGCAATTTCAGTCTACTTCAGCAAATCTCTAATAGATTTATTATATCTTTATAATCTTTGCATCAAGACATGACTTTGTTTGGACCATTCACGGGCATGACATGTGTCCCTTCTCTAAAAAAATTATAAAATGCACTCGTTCATGTAGTATAGTATGTAGTGTTGAGTATTGAACATTTTTTTGTTAATATGGGTGACAGAGATTTGCTTTCATGTGTGGAACGCGGTTTGTCCATGTTTTTCTGGGCCCACTTTATCTAATTACCTAGGACCAAAATCTTCTCTTTCTAGCCATTCAATGAATATTCCCCTTTCCATACAAATTATATTTTATTTTTATGTTGGTATTATATTTTGCTATAGTCATCGAGTGTATCTGATATTTTGATAGAATGTGAGATGTAATTATATCGGGATAGTTGGATGGGACTTGGGAGTTGAGGTATTATAATGCATTAGTGTTGGTGTGATTTACAGTTAAAGTAGCCATGGAAGCATGAAAACTGGAAGGTTAATTACTTCATGCTGACGTCATGGTTTTACCCCGTCCATAAGCTTAAAGTTTGAATCGTGGGAATGGGAAAAATGATGGAGCTTTGAAACGAATATAGTCAGTCCATTTTCATTCATGGTTGTAGAGAACAGCTGGATGTTACTAAGCTCCCACACAATAGGTCTTTTTCACTAATTCTTTATAAGTTATATATATCAAAACGTCACTGTTATTTAATAACGTGTCTAAACAAAATAATTATGTTATTTTTGCTCAATTTAATTGGATTAACTGACACGACATAGGTGGTCAGCTTTGGTTTGATGAATAATCTAATCAAAAGAGTTTATTCTAATTGTTATTGATAATATCTGTTAGGTGATATGGTAATGATATTGATTCATTTCATTACAAAATTACATCACAATCATGTAATAAAATAAACACAAAATCACATTCTTCGTCCTTGTGGTATCACGAAAGCTACGAATATCGTCCATAAAACTATTTTTGGATGAAAAACCGACGATATGATTATATTTTGGGTTTAGTCCCTAAATGAAAAAATAACCAACATTTTATAAAATTTGTAAAATAACCACTTAGTCAAGAATGTGGCATTCTAGAGTATTTATAACTATTTCGAAGTTGGTGGTTGGTAGATTGCGACTTCGGAATTTAACACCCGTACATTCCGGACTATATTCCAGAATGTACGGTTATTCCCGAGTGTTAAAATTGGGTTATTTAAAGGTTCTTCGGTTATGTATTGTGATTTTTAGATTTCAAATAAGGAGTGTAATTCCATAGTGGTAAAAAATGAATTTGTATAAGGAATTTTATCGAGTGCCAATTTTTAATGGAGGGCAATAACATTGAATCGAGAAATCTGTGCAATATATTGCACCAGACTACACATGCTTTGGTGTAGATATAAACAATCACATCAACTTCGTTGGGTTAATCACGTTGGTTGCTACCAAGTTCAGATTACACACTAATTGAATACGTCTATGTTTTCAATGTCCTACATCAAATATAGTTATACGAATTATTGACGATAGTGATGTCAGATATATATATATTTTTAGTTTTATTAATAATATGTCTCCTACCACAATACACTTGTTTGTTGTTAATAATGTTATGAAAATTGGTATTAGCGATTTCCTGTGAAAAATCGTTCAGGTGACAATGGGTCTTCCGGTGCTAGTGATGAAGATTACTTGCCCATAGCCATAACAAAGACTGGTAATATTACTATAAGTAGCGGTGTCCTTTTGGGTTACACACAAGAACAAAATAAAACAGAAAAGATATTTATATGAGGGATTTGTTTTGTTAATTAATAAATAGTTTAATTAATTAATTAGAAAATAAAAGAATATGAAATATTCCAGAATAATTTGAATTCCATAGATAATAATAATAATTATTATTATATTTTGTAACTCTTTAGGGTTTCAAATCATCACCCTATATATAGATGGCTCCAAATCCGGTTTTGGCACTTGTGAAAAATACCTTTCAATTATCAAAGTTCGGTACCTTCAAAACCCTAAAGAATCCCGAAGTGCAGTTCCCACGACGTGACACCTTGATCACCACGTTGTGACCTGTCGTATAATCGACTTTTCGATTCAGTTTGCAGCTCATAGTTCGAGGATTGCTTAGATATGCTTTTACTTTGTTTCTTGGGTGCGATTACAGAAGAGCAACTCTCCGTTGGAATCTCTAGTCCAATCAACTGGCTCGTCAAAAGAAGAAACCCACTAAGAAAGAAAAGGTATGATTCTATCTATTATGTCCTATAAGTTGCATAGATTGTTGATTTTAATATGTTGTTTCGAGTCTATTAGATCAAAATTGTTGTTTCCGTTTCCCATTATTTTGGTCTTTGACTAGGCTCGAAACCCATCAATGGTATCAAAACGTACGTTAACTCCAGTCTATTGCACTTAGACTTTGTCTTGGATAGTATGTTAGGGTTTGTATGTGTTGGATTTCTTGTTTAAACTCTTTTAAATTGCTTAGAAAATTTCCATGATTAAAATTGAATCTATTTATGCTTGAAAAACAACGATTGAGTTGTTCTGCCTCTTCGCCATGTCTTGAACGGTCATCCACCACGTCGTGGGCTCAGTCGATGTTGAACTTGGATCGTGACTGTTTTCCGCGCCAGGTCGTGGTCTTCTCTTGGCCACATCATGGTCTGCTGCTGAGAACCCTCAAATAATTTCTCGTGTTTTCTTTGTGCCTCGACGTAGCTGTTCATTCCCCACGTTGTGGAACCTGAAGTTCCAGAATTTCTAAAAATTGTTCCTTATTTTGGTTGCTCATCCTTTTTCGATTTTAAACACATTCAAACTAGTCTTTATATACTAAAAGATAAAGTAAATTTGATTTAACTATAAGATTAATTAAGAGACAAAAGATAAGGAAGGTTCTAGGAGGTTTCTTCGATTCCTAATGAGGTTGACTTTTAAGTGGCATCTATTGCTCGCCAACCCCACCACCTTACGTTTTGAAGTAGAGTTATCGAAGGGTTTGATAGGACAATTGTGTAAAGTTTAAAGTATTTAACTTAATGAGTAGCAAAACAAAATCCCGTTTTATAATAATAATGTGAATCTTATGATTCCCATGGAAATTATGCCTTGTGTTATATTCTTTTTTATGTAATCGTGTGTGGCTTACCAACTCGTCAAGAGAAGAGTATAGTCACAGGAAGGTATATGTTGATCTCGATTCTCAAGCGTTACTTGAGCTGAATCTCATTGTAACTTCACATGGTCGATTCACCATTTGGATTCATGATCCGCGACTAATCCAATCATGATTGTCAAGTTAGCATTAGAAGAGATTAACATGCTATTGAAACAATTCAATAAATTTTGTTTTCTAGGAAACTTATAAAGATTGTGATCGGCAATAGTTTGTCCACCTAAATAACTTCATTTTGTAACTTTTGACTAATCTAATTTACATTGTGAAGCCAAATATGGACCTTATCCTTTTGATTAATAATTTGATGTTGGGTAATTATAATAAAAGTATTTATTGATCAAACTAATTGTGTTTCTTTTTCTTAATAGATGTCTTGTAGTTTGGGTGCGACTCCTCCTCCTCCTGCACCAACCACTTCATCATAACTTCTTGCTACTTTCACTCGTTTAACGAGATAAGCTCACTGGTCCTACCTACATTGATTGGATTTGTAACATGAGTATCACACTGAGATAATAAAAGAAGGAGTATGTATTGGACGAGTATCTTGAAGAGGAGCTTCCTGATGATGCTACTGAAGAAGAAGCCGCCAACCATGAAAAACATCGCTATCACTCTATTGAAGTCTTGTGTCTAATGTTGGAGACCATGTCTTTTGCACTCCAAAAGAGTTGATAGAACATTGGGGCATACCAAATGAACGGGTAGCTCAAAGACATGTCCCAAGAGTGTGACATCCCCAATTTCATGGCCAGAAAAGACCGATTTGTTTATGCTTTGTTTTTAAAATCAGAGTAATCTTTTAAAGAAAACAGTTGCGGAATTTGTTCCCAAACAAAATATGAAAAAACTTTATCAAACATTTCTCAAAGAGAATGTATTTTTCATTAAATAATAAAACCTCGGGATGTCATGTTCTGATACAGACCAAAAAGCATAAACATTACAATTTAACCTTACAACAGTTATTTACAACTACTGGTCTATAATCCAAAAATCTCTCGTCAAGTTAACCAACTTATACTCTTGTGCCATTACCTGTAATGCAAAGAAAACTGAGTGGGTCAGGCTTGGGAGCCTGGTGAGCATATGGGGTTTTTGACCCACAATAATATAATTATTATATTCAATCATCAATCAATCAATCAATCAATCAATCCAAATTACTCATTCCCATTATCTCCTTTATTTCTTAAGAATTTACCCTAAGAATCAACTATCCTTTATCTCTTTATTCCTAAGGATTGACCTAAGGAATTGACACAAAGTCCACCACTGCCAAGGTCCTCAAATTACAACCGGTAAACACTTAGTTCAACATACTTAACGAACACCTAGTTCTAACACTCCTAGTGAACACTTTATTCAAAACATCTGGTGAATACTTAGTTCTAAAACACTTAGTGAACACACTCAGTTCAACAACACCAAGTGAACACATCTAGTTCAAAAATACTTAATGAACACAATCCTCTAATGAACGCATAGTTCGAAAACACCTGATAAACACATAGTTCAAAACATCTATTAAACACTCAGTTCGAAAATACCTGATGAACACATAAGTTCAAAACATCTAGTGAATACGATCTCCTAATGAACACAGAGTCCAAAAGCACCTGGTGAACCCAATCACCTAATGAACACAGAGTACAAAAGCACCTGGTGAACCCAATCACCTAATGAACACAGAGTACAAAACACC